CTAGCAAGCACACATGTGCCATAGAAAAACACAACACCCAACAAAAAACAAACAAAAATAAATTTTAAAATATTTCCTTTAAAAGAATAATTTCTACAGTAATTTTGTTGAGATGCACAAAATATAAAGATATAAATTGTGACGTCAAAAACATGATATGAGATTAATGCACTCAAAGTTGAGTTGTTCTGAGCTTAAAATTGCTATTATTACTATAAGACATTCTAAGTAAGATTCAGGTAACCATAAAGCAAAATCCTATAGTAGTGGGACCAGCAGATGGCATGGTGTTGGGGTGCTGGACTCCCACATGGCAGACCATGGTTCGAGTTCTGGAACTGGTGGCTTGCTTTCTTACTTTCCCTGTCTTTCTGATAAGTGCATGTGCCCTGTAGTAAAATTTTTAAAATAATCATAACAAATAAAATGAAATATATTTTTTAAAGTTAAAAAAAAAAAAAAGAAATATGAATCTGTTTGGGTCAACCAGGCTTAGTGATTATGGCACCTGGATCTTACATGGCCAACTGTGCAGTATTAGTCCCAGACCCAGCAACTTGAAAAATTCACCAGGTGGGACTGATAGGCGGCATGGCGATTTAAGGCACTGGACTCCCACATGACTAACCGTGGTTTGAGTCCTGGACTTGATGGCTTGCTTTTTCACTTTCTCTTTCTCTCTCTGGTCAAAAAAATTTTTAAATAACAAATAAAATAAATAATTAGTTTTTTAAAAAAAAAAAAAAGAAGAAGAAGAAGAAAGAAAGAAACAAAAGAAAAACACACCAGGTAGGGCTGGCGAGTGGCATGATGGTTAAGGCACTGGATCGCCAATTCAGCCCTAGAGCAAAAATCTCTCTAAAAAAAATAAAGAGTACATGGCAGGAGACCAGCAGGTGGTGTGGTGATTAAGGCGCTGGATTACCAGTTTAGCAGTTCCAGTCCCAGACCTAGTGACTTGAGAAAAACACTGGGTATGAGGGCTTGCATGTTCAAAATCCCAAGAAGAAAATGAGAGAGAAGGGATTGTGGTGTGGCCGCCTGCCCCCCGGGGGGAGGGGGTGATTTCTTTCTTTTCCTCTCACTGTCTCTGTCTCTCTCTCTCTCTCCAGCGAGTGTGTGCACCCTAAGGTGAAAACCTAAAAAAAAAATAATTTTTTTTAATTCCTTTAAATATTTCCTCAATGTCATTTTTTTCTTTCTTATCTGTTTTTTTAAGTTTTGCTATAACACTGGAGAGAAATGTGCATACGTGCCCAACGTTAAAAGAGGAGAAAGAGATTGTGGCATGGTCATCTCCACTATGGGAAGTACTTTCTCATTTTCTCTCTGGCAAGTGCACACTTTATTTTAAATAAATAAATAATAATTTAAATAAATAATCATCATTTTTATTTTGTCGTACCGTGACTAAGGAAGAACACCCTCCCCATAGGGTATATGCACTTGCTGGGGAGAGAGAGACAAAGTGAGAAGTGAGAAATCGCCCCCCAGGGGGAATGACCAGGCCACAATCCTTCCTTCTTCTCTATTCCCCTCCCAAGACTGTGGGCATGTACAAACACACACACACACACACACACACACACGGCCTGTTTTTCAGACTGGGACTTGAACTGTGCATTTGGCTGTGTGGGATCCAGCCACCCCAACTACATGTCACATGACTGGTTCAGGAAGAACTCTAGCTCCCTTAGGGGGAAGAGTCAGCTCTGTCATTTTATCACTAGTACTACCTTTAAACCAGCATCTCTGCAGAAATCTTTTCAGGCTAAATTGTACAACTGTGTCATTCTATTTTCTCTTTCTTTCTTTCTTCCTTTCTTTCTTGTCTAGAATTATTTATTTGACTTTATTTATTATTATTATTTAATTTGCCATAGAGCACATGCACTTACCAGGGAGAGAGAGAGGGACAGTGAGAGAGCAAGCTGCCAGGCCCAGGATTTGAACCATGGTCAGCCATGTGAGAGTCCAGTGCCTTAACCACCATGCAACCTGCTAGCCCCTTGTTTTGTTTCTTAATTTAGATATATATTATAATCTATAAATTCATTTAAGCCAACAAATGGTAATTACAATAATCTCACAGTTAAATTAAAGCAACAAACAAAAGAATGAAACCCCCCCCCCCCCATGCCATCGGTATTGTGCAGTTCCTATGCTTTCTCCAGAACTTTCTCCAGAACGTTTCATTTACCTTAATTACACCTATCTGCACTTGGGAGAGTACTATTTTAAGTAACCAAAGCCAAGGAAAGCACAAATTATATCTTTTTTATCCTTAGTGTTGAAAATGGCCAATCTGGGCACCTTCCTCACTCCATATCACAAACTATTACTAGTTTTTTGTGCCAGAGTAAAGGTTAATTGCGCGACTATCCTGTTTCATCCGGGTAGGGAGGGCGGGCTGCATTCCTGAAATAGGTGTGCAAACTAAACCCGTCTAGTGTAGTCGTTTTAGCATAGCCCCTGCGGAGAGGCTTTGTAAGTCGGCATTATCTCTTCAAATCCCCTGATGTAACTGCATCCCTCAGGTAGCAGTCATCTTCTGCTACCGTCCCTACAATTATCAGTCAATCCCCTCAGACTTCAGGGGTGTTTATTACGCCTTTCTTGATGTCAAAGGGCTCCACCAATCCTGAAAGGCCTTCTGGCTGTGCCTGACTCTTTATTTGAAGACATTTCAAGCTGCCTTGAAAATATTTTTTAACACCCAGTTTGCTGCCTTCTTTTCTTACTTTTAACTAAGTACTATTACTATTCTGGTAAACCCAGTCTGGGTTTACCAGAGCACAGGATAGAGATCCGATGACAACAGCAGAGGGCCAGAGTGCAGATATCTTGAGAGTTCAAAGACCAAGAGTGTACAACAGCTCAGGGAACATGACGGGTGTAGGTGCCCAGTGGCAGTGGTGGGGTGGGGGACAGATAAATACTTAAATTTCAATAACATACATTGTGTCTCTATGGAAAAGATTTCCAAGAGAGAGAAAGCTGATCTTTGTCCTGATGAGTGTTGTCTTTCTGCGATATCATTTTAGAAAGTTACACAGTTTTTTCCAATACTCAGAATATTGGTTTTAGAATTATTTTATTATTTAATTTTACATATCCATTTATTTATTCTAATTTGACCAGAGAGTGATAGTGTGTGTGTGAGAGAGAGAGAGAACATGAGAAAGCAAGCCGCCACATCTGGGACTTGAACCGTGGTCAACCATTGCCCTTGCAGCGGTGTTAACAGAGGTGCAGACAGCAAGCAGACCTCGTCGCCTTTGGGGAGCTGTGGCCGTCCCCCTCAAAGTGAATCTGGAGGTCCCACACCTCTTATAGCCACCCAGCTGCTAGTCAGAGGCATGCTGAGCCCCCGGGGAAGCCACTGGGCCTGGGGGTGTACCCGCTCAATCACCTATCCCCCACCCACTCTGCAGACCGCGACATGGGCGCCTGATCATGAGGGTGGAGGAGATCGCAGCCAGCAAGTGCTGACCCCCCACAGTCAAGCAGCTCCATGACTCCAAGGTCAAGTTCCCGCTGCCCCACTGCGTCCTGCGGCACCAGCACAAGCCTCAGTTTCACCACCAAGAGGCCCAACACCTTCGAATGAAAAAAAAGTTTAAAAAAAAAAATCAGCTTGGGGCCTGCAGGTGGTGTGGTGGTTATGGCGCTGGACACTCCCATATGAATGACCATGGTTTGAGTCCCGGACCTGGTGGCTTGCTTTCCCACTTTCTCTCTCACTCTCTATGGTCAAATTAAAAAATAAATAAATGAATAAATAAAATTAAATAAATAATTATTAACTTAAATATAAAAATAATAAATTGTCTTAATGAGCTTCAAACGTAAGTACTGTAATAGCTAAAGTATTGGACCTGGGTTCAAATTTCAGTTTAATTGATTACTAGCTACTGAACCTTGAGCAATTCATTTAAACCCCTTATATCTCAATTTCTTCAAAAAGGAACTCAAAATAGATCTACTTCTTAGAGTCGTGAGAACTGAATGATAATATTCCTCCCTTCCTATACAGCTATTAAGTGCTCGATAACTGGTTGACATTATTACTCATATTAGAATTTCTTTTATCTCCTATTAGTTATTTGTTCTTTCTTTCCTGGCATCAACTGGTTCACTTAAAGCAGCGATTTTAAGTTAATGAAGTTATTTTAAAATGTGATCTGTGTGGCCCTTAACAAAGCCACGGTTACTTCTACATAGTCACTGTGGTAAAAAAATAAAATAAAATAAAAAAAGTCACTGTGGTGTGGTGGTTAAGACACTGGACTCCCACATGGTTCAAGTCCTGGACCTGGCGGTTTACTTTCTCACTTTTCTTCCCTCTCTTTTTCTCTCTGTCTGCCTTTCTCTGGTGAATACATGTGCACTATAGCAAATGAATAACTAATGAAATTAAATGAATAATGTTTTAATAATAATAATAATAAAGTAATAAAATTAAAGAAATTATTATTTTTAAGAAAGTTTTTTTAAGAATTATTTTATTTAACTTTATTTATTTATTTATTTAAATTTGACCAGAGAGAGAGAGAAAGCAAGCAAGCTGCCAGGTCCAGGACTTGAACTACGGTTGGCCATGTGGGAGTCCAGTGCCCTTAACTACTACACCACCTGCTGGTCCCATAATTCTTAAAAAGCAAACCCCAGGGGACCAGCAGTTAGCATAATGGCTATGTCATTGAACTCCCACAAAGCCGACTGCAGTTCGAGTCCTGGACCTGACGGTTTAAACTCACGCCGGGCGCGCGCGAGTGCATGCGTGCATGCCCAAGATCCTGAGAGGAGAATGGAGAAGGGATTGTGGCGTGGCCAACCCCCTGGGGGGTGATTTCTCGCTTCCTGTCTCTCTGTCTCTGTCTTTCTGGTGAGTCTATGCACCCTATAGCAAAAACCTCTCCGAAACAAACAAACAAACAAACAAAGCCCAGAGTGATAGTTCTCTTATCTGGCACCCTACTGATCTCCAACATTTTGGGAAAAGACAGTGGTTTTGTACCTGTCATTTCTCAAATATAATTTAAGAATTTTATCCAAAAATTGGCATGTTTCCACAGGCTGATAGAAATGGTGGGGTCTTACACACAGAATTACCTGAATAAGGCTTTTTTTGGGGGGAAGAGGTTTTTGCTACAGGGCACGCGCGCTCGCCAGGAAGAGATAGACAGAGAGACAGAGAGACAGAAAGTGAGAAATTACCCCCAGGGAGGGATAGCCATGCCACAATCCCTTCTCCTCCATTCTTCTCTCGGGATCTTGGGCACACACACACACGTGCCCAGTGTGAGTTTAAGCCACTGGGTCCAGGACTCAAACCGCGGTTGACTACATGGGAGTCCAGCGACATAGCCATTACGCTAACTGCTGGTCCCCAGAATAAGGCTTTTGAGGAGCAGCTGGCTGGAGCCAAGAACTAGTATGAAGGGACAGCTGGGAGCGAGTCGGACATCTTTATTGGGAAATCCAGTTACGCGTGGCACGGATCAGGGTAATGCTCTGGGTTGCTGCCCTGGAAAGCTTAAGGTATCAGTATCAGAATGAAAGGCCAGTCAGACCTTTGCGATTCTGAGGACCAGATAAAAGGAACAATGAGGAGAGTCAGTGCGATCGTGTCCCATCTTAGCCAGAGCCCATGAAGAGGCGAGGTGGCTGAGTTTTCTAGTGAGAACTCAAGTGGTCGCGACAGCAAAGAAATGCAACAACCTCAGGACCTGGTTGTTCTTAAGTTTTCTACAGTATCTGATATACCCCAGAGTCTGAAGACGCCAGCTTGTTTTTAGAGCTGTACCTTGGACTAAGATCTACGTCACTAGTAAAGCTATTCCCATCTGTGATTACGCATCTTGCAAACTTGAGGGAGAAATGCCATGGAAGAGGTAGAAGAAAAAGACAAGTTATTTTAGGGGAAACAGTTGTGTGAGCAGAGACCTTTCTTTTTGGCTAATACTGCGCTTGAATTGAACTGAAAGTGACCAATAAAAGATTCAGGAAAGGGGCCAGTAGGTGACTGAGTGGTTAAGGTGCTGGACTCCCACATGGCCAACCGACTGCAGTTTGAGTGTGGGACCTAGTGGCTTGAAAATCTCACTGGGTACATATGCGTGTGTGTCCAGAATCCCAGGAGGAGAACGGAGAAGGGATTGTAGCGTGCCATCGCCCCGGGGGTTGATTTCTCACTTTCTCTCCTACTATCTCTTTCTGTCTCTCTGCAATGAGAGGATGTTCCCCATGGCAAAATAAAAGAAAAAAGAAAAGAGAAAAAAAGGACTCGAACCACGGTGAACTTCCATTGGCAGTCTAGCACCTTAACCACTATGCCACCTGCTGGCCCCTCTCCAGTGCTTTTAAAGTGTATCCAGCAAGAATCTGATAGTCAAACTCCAGTTACAGCTGTTTCGTTTCTTAACAGGTTATTTATTCTGTGGCATATTTCCTGCCTGCTACTTCCTTTTCTCCTAAAGCTGGTGGTAATAAAAACTGCTTTTCCAGGCATAACTGTGTAGACAAATAAAAAGAGCAGATATCAGGGATGGGGCTGAGTAGGCAGACACAGAATTTTTAGGGCAGCGAAAACACTTTGTCTGATACTGCAATGGTAGATGCATGTCATCATACGTAGCCCAAACCCAGAGAATATACAACACCTAGTGTAAACTATGGACTTCAGGTGATAATGGCGTGTTGATGCAGGTTCCTCAACTATAATAACTGCCCTGCTATGGCAGGGACTGTTGATAATGGGGAAGGCTACTTGGGGGTCACTGTATCTGCCTCTTAATTTTGTTGTGAACCTAAAATTGCTCTAAAAGCTTTTTTTAATCACATTTATTTCAACTCATAAAATTCCAGTTCTGAATATAATGTAGGGAGAAAATAGATGCTTAGTTAAAAATGTGGAGGATGGGCCGGTGGGTGGTATGGTGGTTAAGGTGCTGGACTCTCACATGGCTGGCTGTGGTTTGAGTCCCAGACTTGGGCTTTGTCTTTTCGCCCTCTCTTCCCTTTCTTTTTTTTTTTTTTTTTTTAATTTTAAGAGGTTTTTGCTATCGGGCACGTGTGCTCGCCAGACAGAGAGAGACAAAGAGACAGAAGCGAGAGATCAACCCCCAGGAGGGATGGCTATGGCGCAGTCCTTTCTCCTCCATTCTCCTCTCGGGATCTTGGGCACGCACGCACACACACCCAGCGTGAGTTTTAAGCCACCAGGTCCGGGACTGGAACCGCGGTCGGCTACATGGGAGTCCAGCGACATAGCCATTACGCTAACTGCTGGTCCCTCTCACATTCCCTTTCTCTCTCTCTCTGGTCAGGCTAAAAAATAAATAATGATAACAAATAAAGTAAAATAAGTAATTCTTTTTTTTTTTTTTTTTGAGAGATTTTTACTGTAGGGCGCGTGCGCTCGCCAGACAGACAGAGAGAGACATAGAGACAGAAAGTGAGAAATCACCCCCCAGGGGGGATGGTCACACTGCAATCCCTTCTCCTCCATTCTCCTCTCGGGATCTTGGGCACGCACGCACACACACCCAGCGTGAGTTTGAAGCCACCAGGTCCGGGACTGGAACCGCGGTCGGCTACATGGGAGTCCAGCGACATAGCCATTACGCTAACTGCTGGTTCCCAGTAAAATAAATAATTCTTGAAAAAAAAGGGGAGGGAGAGACCAGCAGGTGGCGTGGTGGTTAAGGCACTGGACACTCCCACATGCTTGACCACGGTTCTGGACGGGGCAGCTTGCTTTCTTCTCACTTTCCCTCTGTGTGTGTGTGTGTGTGTGTGTGTGTGTGTGTGTCTATCTCTTGTCAAGTTAAAATAAAATGAATGAATAAATCATTTTTTTAATTAAAAAAAAAAGAATGAGAGGTTGGCAAGTGTCATGGTGGTTAAGGGCACTGGACTCCCACATGGTTGACTGTGGTTCAAGTCCCGGATCTGGTGGCTTGCTTTCTCTCTCACTCTCTCTCTGTCCCTCTCTGGTAAATTAAAATAAATGAAGTTAAATAAAAGAATTATTTTTTAAAAAATAAAGAATGTGGAGGACAATAGAAAGGCAGAAAGGCAGTCAGCAAATGGTGGGGAGGTCAAGGCAGCTGGATCCCACATGCCCAGCGACATGGTCCAAGCCTGGACAAGGCGGCCTAAAACACACAGGATGCAAGTGTATGTGTTCCCAAAAAAGCGCAAGAGGAGAATGAAAGGAGAAGCGATAGCAGCATGGTCATTCCCCCAGGAAACCGGAGTGATTTCTTATTTTCCCTATCTCTGTCTCCAACAAGCACATGCCCTATAACAACAACAACAACAA